TTTTTTTTTTTGGTATATGTGAAACCCCTTTTACTTTACAACTCTGAGAAGCTGAGATCCAGTGAAAGTTGTGATAAATAACAGGGATTTGAACTTGGGTTTGTGACTCCAAATATAGCATTCTTTCCTCTGCACCATACTGCCTTCAATCCTGACTCTGACACTTAGATGATCTTGGGCAAGTCAACCTCCCAGAACTTCAGTTTCCTCATCTGTAAAATGGGGATGATAATCCTTTCATGATCTGCCTCACAGGATGATTGTGAGGAAAGTACTTTAGATTTTTGTTATACCAGGTGTGTCTTTGAAGCACAGCCTGGCACAGACACGCACAGCCTTTTCCTGTAGCCAGACTGACCTCCTGAAACTTGTCCCTTGGCCTTTCCTTGGAGGGTATCTTTTTCTCCCGCTGAAAAGTGAACCCTAGTGGTTCTGCCCTTTGGCCCTCAAAGGAGGTTGGGTGGGAGTGAGTGGTTGATGCTTCAGGCCTGAAATGAGGCCTAACCCCAGGAGGGAATGATCTGCTCAGCCCTTGACCTGGCCCACCCAGGACCCACAGAGTCACAGCGGAGCCAAGGCTTTGGCTGATTCCAGAGCCTGTGACAGCTGTGATCTCTGGTCTCCAGACCCTGTTTGGTTTGTATCGCTTCCTAGAAATTCAATAAGTGAGCACTCCTCACTCCAGCTTCCAACTAAAGGAAGAGCCTTTAGGATCCAATCTAATTTTCCTTGCGTGAATCATAGCAGAGGGTGTGTATTGACGAGGAGTACATCATTTCACAATACATCCCATAGGAAAATAAGCCAGATAAGGCAAGATTGAGTGGGAGGAGGCACCCTGGACTGAGTCAGATCAAGAGCTCAGGTCTCTGCTGGGCTCCTGACCTGTTCTGTGGCCCCAGGGCAAATCATTCAATTTCTCCGCCTCCAATGCTTTAATTTATGAAATCAGGATGCTACCTAACAATTAATATTGGAACTTTCCCTGAAGCTCTCGTTCATTTTTGCTGTATTAAATGTAAATACATGTGATATTCTCATAAATACATTTGTCATTAAGTTTTAGTTCAATTTATAGTATTTAATAGATATCTTTTTCATATCATGTGCATATATACACTGATGCATACATATATAGAGAAATACATGTACACATCCATGTATACATATGCATGTCTATAATGCATGTGTGTATAATGGTTACACGTATGTGCATACATATAATGTACATGTGTGTTATACCCACATGTGTCACATATACATGCATGTGTATATATGTATACATGGGTGTATATGTCTATATGGATAGATATGTAATATATCTAAATCAATCAATGTCAGTCTGTCTGTCTACCTACCTACCTACCTATCTATCCATCTCTCTATAGTTCAGCAGCCAGTCGTAAGTTCAGTCCCACTTTGGTTCTGCTCAGAAGTTTTAACCTGCTCTGTTTTTCTGACCTAGGCCAGTTTGTCTCTCCTTAAAGCAACCTGGTGGCTCTCTTCTCTGCACCCGCCCCCGTCCTGATTTGTGCCTTATTTTCACTGTAACTCAGAACCCCTGAGCTCAAGTGATCCCCCCGGCCTCAGCCTCGCCAGCAGCTGAGGCTCAAAGCACCTACTGGCCTGGCCAAGGTCCTCATCCAGCAGAATTCAAACTTGGGTAAGTGGGTCTCCTAATAGACTGTAGGGTCTGTTTTCTGGGGACTGTCGGAGCCAAGTGTGAGGAGGTTCATCACTAGAACAAAATGGTAGAGTAATAACAGCTCTTTAAATGACATATGATCATCAGATGCTACAGCTCTGAAGCAGGGGGCATTCTAACCCAATTTTACACATTGTTAAAAAAAAAAAATAAACCCAGAGACCTGCCTGGCATCACAGCAGGTAAGCACATGGGGCGGGATTTGAACTTGGGGTCTTCCTGATTGCAACTCCAGCGTGCTCCTCGCTACAATAGGAGAATTGTCTTAGAAGCTGTGGAGGGGGTTGGCTGAGGAAGGGAATCCACACCAACGAAACCCCAGCTATTTGGAAGTATTGGCACCTTCAAGACAAAGCCTCCAACTACACTGAGTGTTCTAGGACCGCGTCCAGCTGCAGGCGGGGATGGGGAGGAGTTAGAGGGGAAGCAGTCTCCTGGACTCATGGGACCTCGTGCGTGGACAGCTGGGATCAGAGGCTGGAAACATACTTACCCAACAGGAGCTGGACCTAGAGGGGGCTGATTCTGGTCCCGTTAAATCGGCTTTACTCCAGGAGGAATTCCAAACATGAAGGCCGTCATTTCAGAACCCGGCTAATCCATCCCCCGTCGGTTTCCCCGATCTTAGACCTGGATGAAGGTGGCATGTTGTGGGGGAGCAGTGGGTTTCATGTAAAGAGGCCCAGACCAGTAGCAGGCTCTGGACCTGGCACAGCCATTACTGGCCATGTATTCTGGAGCAAATGACTTGCCTTCTCTTTGTTTCCTCTAAGATTGAGGTGATATCAGGTGGTAGTTCTTGCCCTATTTTGTGTTCTGAATGCTTTTAATAATCTGGTGAAGCCTATGGGCAAATTTTTTTTTCAGAATAAGGCTTTTAAGTCTCTGAATAAGATTTTTAATGTCCAATTTCAACTTTTTTGTTCTGAGCCCTTCCGTCTCTGACATCCAGTGTTCTAAGGGCCCTCCCAGCTCTGCCATCCTGGGTTCTAAGGGCCCTCCCAGCTCTAACATCCTGTGTCCTAAGGGCCCTCCCAGCTCTGACATTCTGGACTCTGCCATCCTGTGTCCTAAGGGCCCTCCCAGCTCTGATGTTCTGTGTTCTAAGGGCCCTCCCAGCTCTGACATTTTGTGTCCTAAGGGCCCTCCCAGCTCTGACATTCTCTGTTCTAAGGGCCCTCCCAGCTCTGACATTTTGGTATCTGACATTCTGGGTACTAAGGGTCTTTACAATTATCAAAATATGTTTCTGATTAATGGGAATGTTAGTCAGGGACCAAACTAGAAAAGAAAAGCCAGCAGTTCTAGCTGAGATGAGGCTTACTCTGATCTTGACAGATTTTTCTCCCTGAGGGTCTTTTCTCTCTCTCCTTTACCCCCCAGCATTGACCCTTCCTTGATCACCTACTTTCCTTGACCTGAGAACATGGCCCGGTGGGGGAAGAGAGTTTAAGGAGGGCTAGAGAGTGTCAAGATATTAGGAGACACCCTGTTTTCCAGAGCTAAGGCCCAGCAAGCAAGCTGTGTCCTGAGCTTGGCATAACAACAATCCTTTGCGCTCACCCTCTGGATGATCTCACCTTCTGGCAGAATCACATAATTGCTGTATTGCTTTGATCCAAGCACCAGACAGGTACCCATGTTTGGGTCATGAAGCCCTGCTATGAATCAAATGTATCTCATTGTTACTGTTACCCCTCATTATCAGGACTGCAGCTTGCTGTGGGGCCAGCAGTATGAATATTGAGATCTCCCCACGCTGCCTCGGGTCCCCCCCCACTGTGGCTGAGGCCTGGCACCTGTGTCTAGATCCCTTCTTTGCTTACGTTTCCCTCACTTTGAAATTAAACTTCTGTTTGATTCCTGACTCTCCTGTCTCTAGCCTGCTCTTTTTGGCTCTGGCCACCCATAGGTTAGAGGCCAGTTCTGTCCAGTTGATAGGTGGCAGAACAGGCCAGTATGTCCTCAGATGGTCTGTCCATCTTCCCTTAAAAGCAAGTCTTATACATCCTTAAATCTTATACATCTTTATCTGGTGGCCACTGCCAGGTAGGCACCACCTAGGAGAAGGGCAGAAGGGAGGGAGGATGCTGGGGTTAGCCAAAACCACACCCTAGCTTCCTCCTGGGGCCTGGTCCAATACCCCAGGGCTTGGCAGCTTCTCCAGAAGCTGCTGTCAAGAGATAGATGAGAGTCCCCTGGGCTCCAGGCCCAGGGTGAGCAGCTCACTACTCAGAGGGCATTGCTCAGCTTCTCTCCATGTGCTTTGGGGAGAGGAAGGGTGAGGAAGCTTACCAGAGAGCCAGGAGGCCTGATTTCCAGGCCATGCCATGCCATGCCAACTACTCACTCTGTGACCTTGGGCCAGGACTTTCTCTTCTCTGGGATCACAAGTTTCCTCATCTTTAAAATGGAAAGGAAATTCATAGGATCGTAGCTCTGGAACTCAAAGGGAACTTGAGAGCTTGTCTAGTACAATCTTCTCATTTACAGATGAGGAAACTGAGGCCCAGAGCAGTGAAAATTACGTAGGAAGTAAGATTCAGAGGTGGGGTCTAATTCCACACCCATTGTTCTTTCTCCTAAACCACACTGCCACCCTAAACAGTTCCTGGTGGCCCTGTTACCACTCACTTCCCTTCCCCTCCCCCCCCCAAAAAGAAAGCTGTTCGGAGACCTGCCGTTATCATGCGTTGCACTCAAGAAATATTCCCTGATCCCTTTTCTGTGTTTGGCCAGAACAAGTTAGGGCCACTGGAATAAGACAGCACCTTCTGGCAGCAATCTGGGAAGGCTTCCTGTAGCATTTGGTGTTGAGTAGGAAATAGCGTTGGGAAAATCAGAAGCATCCTTAATTCAGATCTGAGTGTCATGCATACATGGCACCTCTGTCCAGATCTATTTTCCCTTCTCCAAAGCTACCTGTGTCCAGGTCTTTGATGGTTCCTATGGGCTCTGGGGCTTCCCAAGTTTGCCTCTAAGTCTCGAGGCTCGCAGGGTTCTCAGTCTCCATTGAGGCCCAGTTGATTCCCCTCTCCAGGTCTCAGTTTCCTCATCTGAAAAATGACAGGTTTGGACTAGATGATACCAAGAGCCCTCCCAACCCTGACATCCTGTGTTCTAAGGGCCCTCCCAGTTCTGACACTCTGTTCTCAGGGTCCTTACAGCTCTGACATCCTGTGTTCTAAGGGCCCTCCCAGCCCTGACATCCTGTGTTCTAAGGACCCTCTCCCAACTCTGACACTCTCTGTTCTCAGGGCCCTCCTAGCCCTGACATCCTGTGTTCTAAGGGCCCTCCCAGCTCTGACATCCTATGTTCTAAGGGCCCTCCCAACTCTGATACTCTCTGTTTTCAGGGTCCTTACAGCTCTGACATCCTGTGTTCTAAGGGCCCTCCTAGCTCTGACACTCTCTGTTCTCAGGGTCCTTACAGCTCTAACACTTTAATGGTTCTTTAATTCTTTTTCTTCAGACCTTCTGGCTGTCATCCCTCATCCCAGGAGGGGGCAGTGGAGATACATGGAGAGGAACACAGCCACCTCTTAGTATCCACACTCACACCTGGGGCATTGGGGTCCACACAGAACCCTGTGCAGCCCAGGACTCTGGGAGGGTCTGGACCAGCACCCTTCCCTTCCATCCTCTCATCCAGTGTTTAGCCAGCCCCGAGAGGTGGGAAGGACACCCCAGGGTTATTTTCCCTACAACCCGGATGACACTGACCCCCAGACAAGGGGAGGGCCTCACCCAGGACCAGAGAACAAGTCAGGGCCAAACTGGCCCTGGACTCAGGTGGTGTGCCCATTTCCTCATTGACTTCTAAGGTCCCCTCCAAATCTCTATCCCTGAGCCTGCCCTGCTGGCCTGGTGCGGAGCGAAAGGGCACGAGTGCTCCTGGGAAAAGATCCTTCCGACAGGGACTTTGGTGGTGTGGACAGTTAGGCAGGCTCTGGGAATCCCTGAGGAAGAGGAGTGAGGGAAGAGACCAGTGCTGAAGTGGCCCTTCCCTGACCCCAAGTCATGGATGGGAATTTACCATCTTCCAGGCTAGTCTGTTTGCCTGCTTCCCACACTGCCTCCCTGCCACGCCCACTGCCCAGTCTGTTCCTTAGAAATCCCGGCCAGCCGGTAGGGATGGAGCCCCAGGCTCTGGGAATGCACAGAGTGTAGAGGTGAGAAATCTCAGAGCAATTATTTCTTCCTTTTCTCCTTCCTCGTACACCACACACACACACACACACACACACACACACACACACACACACACACACACAGAGCCTCCGCCCCCCTTCCCCCTTGCTCCAGGCCTGCCGGTCTCAATTTCAGGACCTAAAGGGTGCCTGTCATCCCGCCTCCCCCAGGGAGACACCACCTTCTTGGGATGTCATGAGTGGGCGGGGCCTGAGTAACCCCTAAGAAGACTAATAAAGCTCTGTGGCCCTTTCCCTTCCCTGAGTCCTTGGGATTCCCAGCTCAGACTTCAGTGTCAGCCCCATTCTCTGCAGGCTGGTGTGTGGGAAGGCTGTCAGCCAGCAGGACAGCTGCTATTTACCGGCTGCAGAGACAAGTGGGGGACCCCAACAGCCAATCTTCCCCGCTTCAGGACACTCCTTTCCCAAACTTAGACTGGGGGGAAGCAGGACCCCTAGACAGGGTGGGCTGAGTGGTGTCCAGGACCTAGAGAGTTGGGGATTGGGGAGGGAGCTCTCTCATAGGGTGAGGACTCCAGGGACCTTGTTCTAGGGTGAGTCTTTCAGCATCCTTCCTCTGGCTTAACTCAGGGGAGCCCCTTAGTCAGGCAGGGGACCCCCCACTCTGCTTCCTTTCCCCTTTTTTCTCCCTGTTTACTTTCTTCAGGCTGCTTCCTCCTGCTTCCTTCCTGCCAAGTCCTTAGCAGGAGCAACCAGAGGGGAGATTGGACTTTGAAGGCAACAGGTGTAGACAGAGAAGGCAAGGAGTCAGGAGCCCTGGAAGGTGGGCTGGTAGGGATGGAGGCCTGGGCCCCTGAGCGGCCGACCTTTGGCTTCTGGGACTACGGTGTCTTTGGTCTCATGCTGCTGGTCTCCACGGCCATCGGGCTCTTCTTTGGGCTGGCCCGGGGTGGGCAGAAGACTGCGGAAGACTTCTTTACAGGTGGACGGCAGATGGGAGCTGTGCCCGTGGGCCTCTCACTGGCAGCCAGCTTCATGTCGGCCATCCAGGTGCTGGGAGTGCCTGCTGAAGCTTACCGTTACGGGCTGAAATTCCTCTGGATGTGCCTGGGTCAGCTGCTCAACACGCTTCTCACTGCCTTCCTCTTCCTCCCTGTCTTCTACCGCCTGGGCCTCACCAGCACATACCAGGTAACTAGGCAGGGCTGAGGGATCCTGGGAGGATGAGAGGCACTCTTAGAGACTGGTCTGCTCCCCTCCCCACCTCACTCCCCAACGGCCACCTTCCTCGGCCTCTAGGTCTGGCACCCGGCAAAGAGTGCTCTGTGGTCAGTCCAGCCTGCGCTCCTGGGAGGGTCTGGAATCAGTGCCCCTGTTAGGGTTAGAGTGGGCAAGGATGGGATCTGGAGATTGTGCTGGAGCCCCGATAGGCAAGAGAGGAGGTGGAGGGACCCCAGAGACCATCCTGGTTTTGGTTGTAGGTGGGCAAGACATCAGTCCACCCACCTGGTAGTATCCCCAGACACACACACCAAACCCCATCACCACTGGGTATTTGGATTCAAAGAGCAGGGAGAAGGAAAGCGCCCTCCGTGGATGTGTGCGGATGCGTGCGTGTCAGTCATCTGTTTGTGTGCCGATGGTTTTGTGCAGACCCAGGGAAGGGCTCGTGCAGGGAGGGTGGGAGTGGGATGTGCCATGATGTATGTGTCTTTGTGGACGTGTGCACAAGAGGCAAGCTGGTGGTGTGAGAAAAGACCTGGGCCAGGGCCACGAGCCAGGAAATCTTGGGTCTGTCCCTGGCTGGGCAACCTCAAGCAAGTCTTCCTTTCTCTGAGCTTCATCCATGGGCTTATTTTGGCGCTTAAGGGTCTCTCTGTTCTGTTGCTCCAGTGCAGGGGTCTCTCGTTAGGGGTGGATGTCCTTCAAGGGGAGGCAGGCCATAATGGCCTTGGGGCCAGTCCCAGGGAGGGGCAGAGAATATGACCTTCCCTTCCCATTCCCCTTTCAGTATCTGGAGCTGAGGTTTAGCCGTTCTGTCCGTCTGTGGGGCACCATCCAGTACATCATCGCCACGGTGAGCCACCTTCCACCGCCTCCCTCCACTGCCCCCAGCCCTCTGCTGACTCAGCCTCCTGAACTTTGGCTCCCAGGCTCCCCCAGATAAGTGGTCTGTGGGTTCCCCAGCAGAGTCACTCAGGGTGCTCCCTTCTGAGTGGCCTCTGGGTTCTCCAGTGGAAAAAAGGTTTCCAGGGCTTTGGGCAGGGCTGGGGAGTCCCAAAGTGTTCCACTTCGAGGTGGCTCCTCTTTGCCTCGGCTTCCAAATCTCTTGGAGACTGAGGTCAGGACAGGTCAATGGAAGTGGGAGAACCAGAAGGGACAGGGAGTGAGGGCAGATATTGGGGAGAAATTCCTGTTGGAACATTCGCTAGGCCCCCAGGGAAGGCCAAAGGAGGGCTTAGATGCTCATCACCCCAGGGGCTGGGGGCCTGGGAGATAACCCCCCCCCCACTTTGTGGATGAGGGCTGAAGTTTGACAGAAAGGTCCCACCCCTGGAGCGGGGTCATTATATCCAGTCCCCAGTAGGCATGACTGGGACTCATTTCCCTACCTTTCTGGACAGATGCTATACACAGGAATTGTCATCTATGCTCCTGCCCTGATTCTCAACCAAGGTATGACCCAGAGTGAGATCTACAGTGTTCCCTGACCTCTAGAAGACCTCAGACTGAGATGCAGGGCCCTGGCTTCAGGCTGAGGGGAGACACAGCCCTGACCTCAGGGAGACCCCAGTCTGAGGGGAGACATGGTCCTGCTGTCAAGGAGCCCTTGGTCTGAGGACAGACATGACCCCTAGCTTTGGAGAGCCCCCAGTCTGAGGGGGTGGGGTGACATGACCCCTTCTTTTCCTGTCTGCCCATTGTGACTCTCTTGCTTCCAGTAACAGGGCTGGATATCTGGGCATCTCTCCTTTCAACCGGTGCCATCTGCACCTTTTACACCACTGTGGTAAGCATCCTCAGGGGATCCAGCCCAGCCCAATATGTAGCCCTGATCATTCCAACCTCCTCCGGACCCCGCCTCCCTCATGTTGGCCTATTCTTCTCCTCCAAATACTTGGGGTGTTCTCAGTGTCACCAGAGGAGAGGGACCTGCTGGTAGTCAAGAGACATATCCAGGGCTCCTCAGTGAGCCTGCACTGGTACCTGGCTTTAGTGCATCTCTACTTCTGACTGGCTGGGTGACCTCAGACAAATCCCCTCCTGTCTCTGGGCCTCAATTTCCCCATCTGTAAAATGAGGTTAACAACCTCCCACTTCCCTCCAAGGATTGTCATGAGAATTAGCATAAATAACACATGGGGGGAAATAGCTATTTGTAAACCGGAGCTGCCTTAGAGGAACTCAAAGGTCCTTTCCAGTGGTAAAATCCTGTGTAAAGGGTTAAAACAATGAAAGAGATCCTTCTTATCAGCAAGTGGGTCAGAACATTTCAAAGGCCACAATGCTGGGGCACCAGCTGCGATACCACTGGTCAGGGGCTTCTTCATATAATGAATTTCTACCAAAGTGGGACCTCCTTCCTCAAGCTGTTCAGGCCCAGGCCCCTGACACCAGGCAAAGGAATGGACAGTTTAGGGGCATGGCCATTTCCTCCTTCCAGGAAGACCCTGGAATGCACATCCTCTGCCTCCTCCCACCTCCGTCCTCCCATGCACCCCTTCTCCCACAGCAGGTTTGGGGGGTACTGAACAAGCCCCATCTCTCTCCCCTCCTCATTCCCCGTCTCTGCCCTACAGGGAGGCATGAAAGCTGTCATCTGGACAGATGTCTTCCAGGTGTTTGTGATGCTCTCCGGGTTTGTCGCCATCTTGATCCACGGCACGCTTCTGGTCGGTGGTGCCCAGCGGGTGCTGTACATTGCCCACAATCACTCCCGTGTCAACATGGATGAGTGAGTAGTTCCCCTTACTTCTAGATCCCTTGAGGTCAATGAGGAAGGAGGTGAGAATGAACCCCAGGGCAGGAGGAACTGAACTGAGGGACAATTCAATTCAATGGCTGGTTATTCATCCAGTCTACTGCCAAATGGCTTGACTCAACCCTCCTGTGACTTCCCACACCAAAATGCCCTCCCCTTTAGGTATCATCTGCCTCTGTTAGAGTGGACACTCCTTGAGGTCACAGATTATGTCTGTCTGTGTTTGCATCTCCAGTGCTTGGCATGCAGTGAGCCCTTGATAAATCTTTTTTTCCCATTCATTCTATAATGCACCCCTCACTGTGCTAGACACTGGGGACACAAAACAGTTAGCCTCCCCTCAAGGAGTGGTCATTCTGCGGTGGAGAACATGTAGACGGAGAAATAAATATAAAATAATTTTTTTAAATGCAAGCAAATTTTTTGGAGAGAGTACTAAGTACTTGTGGGGAGGGGGGTGGAGGATGAGGAAGTCAGGAAAGGCTTCATGGAGCTGTGGCACTAGGACTGAGCTTGAAAGGAAGCTAGGGCTTCCAAGAGGTGGAGGTGAGGATGGAGGATGTGACATGGTCAGTCTTTTGCTTTAGGATTATCTATTTGGTAACTTTGTGGAGGATGGATTCTAGAGGGGAATGTTTGTTTTTTTTTTTAAACTAGAAGATTATTATAATAGGTCCAGAAGAGAGGTGATAAGGGGCTAGTGTGATAAGCTGTGCCAGTGGAGAGAAGGGGACAGATGTAAGAGATATGGAGATGGACAAGTCCCCACTGATATATACAGCACCTCCCTAGCCAGTTAGGCTTCAGGAAATAGAAATCATTGAAATCTACTGACAGAATCCAGCAATGCTGGTCTTGAGGTCTTGGAGGGAGGGAAACATGGAATCCCATAGATAGGAGGAACAGGAGAATCTTTGGAGCAAAAGAAGGGAAATTTAACCAATTTCCATGTTAAAAATCGCTACTTATGAGGTATACACACGGCTTCACCTGTTACTTGTCCTGGGTTCTCAAAGAGGACCACGACATCAGGAAGATGATGCCACGCCCTGCAAGACAGGGCTGTGCCAGGTCACCAGCCTCACTTTCTCATCCAGAGCCAAATGGGTTCAGTGGAGATATAGATCAGGATGACTGGAGATGGCCCTCATGTGGCTTCATATTTTAAAAGGGAAAAGGTATCAGAATGTTCAGAGATCTCAACATGTGGAATGATGGTGGCTGCAAGGCAGGGCTGTCGAATTTCAATAGAAATGGATCCCTGTGACAGACTATTGATTTAGAAAACCACAAATTAGCATTATCTCTGTTTATTGTATTTTTATTTATTTTTGGTAAGCATTTCCCAGTTAGATTTTAATCTGTTTTGGGCTGTATCTGAGTTTGGTAGGCCTCTGCTCGAGGGACTCAGGACAGAAGCTAGGGCCAGCGTTAAAGATCAGAGAAGGAGATGGTTTGAGGGTTAACATGAGGATGAAGGAATGAGTTTGGGGCTGACAGCAGGGTGAGGAGATAAGTTTGGAGTTGGGCTTAGGGTTATCTTTAGAGCAGGAATCCTTCACCTTTTGGTGCACGGACCCCTTTGAAGCCCATGAACCCCTTCTCAGAATATATAGCTTTAAAATTCATAATTGAGGGAAATACTAAGTTTCAGTTAGGTGTTTGTGAAAGTAAAGATGTCATTTTCCCCCTATCCAAATTTATAGACCCCCTGAAATCTATGTCTGTGGATCCCAGGTTAAGAAATCCCCTGATATAGAGGCAAGCTTAGGAAACAAATTTAAACCCCACAATTCAGCTCAAGCAACACTTACTGTATGGTGATTCATCTGCTGCGAGATGCGGTGTGTATACAGATAAGTAAATGTGAGGTCATTTGAAGAGGGCACTCATGGCGATCAGGGCTTCCTGGAGAAAGGGGCACCTCAGCGAAGGCATGAAGGAATCTAAGGATGCTAAGAGAAAGAGGAGAGAAGGGAGAAGTTTCCAGGCATGGAGAAAAAGCCTGTGAAAAGGTCCCAAGATAGAAGGTAGAATTGTTGAATTTGAATTAAACACCATGTATTAAGAGCCTATTATGTGCTAAGTACTGGGGATACAACGATAGGCAAAAACTGCCTCTGCCCTCAAGAAGCTCATAATCTAGAGACTGCTAGGAGGCACAATGGTTAGAGAACTGGAGTCAGGAAGACCTGACTTCAAATCCAACCTCAGACACTTACTGCATGAACCAGGGCAAAGTCACCTAACCTCTGTCTGCCTCAGTTTCTTCATCTGTAAAATGAGGATAATAATAACACCTCCCTCCCAGAGTTGTTGTGAGAATCAGATGAGATGGTATTTGTAAAGCGCTTCAGAAATCTTCAAAGTGCTATGTAAATACTGGAAAAAAAGTCCAAATTCTAATGAGAAACATAAAGTTTGACTGGTAGAAAGCAAAGTCCAGAGCCAGATTGTAGAGGTCTTTAAATGCCAGGATGAGGAATTTAAATCCTCTGCCTATAGGCAATAGGGAGCCACTGATGATTTTTGAGCACCACCTTGACTTGATCAAACTAGTGCCGCAGGAAAATTAGTTTCCCATATCAAAGGTGAAGTAAGGACTTTGATTAGCCCCGTTATTATTTGATGGTGATATAGAAACCCCAGCTGTAGCAACGAGAGAAGAAAAAGAAAGGGAACAATTAGCATAAGAAAAGTGAAGGCAAAATTCTCTCTTTGCAGGTGACCGGATGGTTTGCTGAGAGGACCCTAGAGATTCAATGAAACAATTAACTGAAATAATAGCCTCAGTAAAGTTTCAGGATTAAAAAAAAAAACAGTCCTGGAAAAATCACCAGCCTTTCTTTAGATTAATAACAAAACCCAACGGGGGAAGACAGAAAAAGAAATTCCATTCGAGATTATTTTGGCAGCTGCGTGGCAGATGGGTTGGATTGTATCAGGGAGAGATGGGAAGCAGCAGATCGGATTAGGAGGCTAGGAGAGAGGTGATAAAGGTCCAGACTAGGTTTGACTTTAGGGCAAAGGATAGATTGGCCCCAGACTTCACATAGAACAGGGACTGAATATATGTTAATGAAACTGCCTTAGGGCCATGCAATGAATTTAGGGTTTGAGGTGGGGAATGAGTTTGGAGTTAGGGCTGGGGTGGGTAAAGAAATGGTTCAGGCCTCGGGTTTGGCATTAGGGTAACACTGACTAGGCATGAATTTCAGAGTTTCAGCTTTGATTAGGGACAGGTGAGGGAAGAGCCGCCTTCCTTTTTTGAACGCAGGTGGTGGACCAGGGGTGCAGAATGAGGCATATGTTGTCTCACAGTTAATATGTTTTGTTTTGCCAACCATACTTCTTGGTTACAAATGAGTGAATTATTGTTTTGAACTGGGAGTCAGCAAGGAGTGATGTTAGTTGTTGTTGACTTGTTTCAGTCTTGTCCAACTCTTTGTGACCCCCGTAGGGAGTTGTAAAAAGAAGCTGTTGAGGAAAAGAATTAGCCCTGGCTGGGTTTAGAATCTCTTGAGGACTGAGTCAGTGATGCTGTCATTACAGACCAGGAGGGTCGTGGTCAGGGTGGGAGCCAGGCCGATGTCAGGGCTACTGGTGCCTGCAGACTGTTTCCTGACCCCATGACCCCCCACCTACCCCCACCTCTCCTGGTAACTAGGCTTCTTCTCCCACTCTTCTCTAAAAGTGCAAGGACCCAGACAAGGCAGAGATAGTGGGGCGTAGTGGACAGAATGCCAGATCTGGCTCAGATCCTTCCTCTGACACTTACTAGCTGTGAGGCTGGGTGAATGCCTTAAACTCTCTGTGCCTCAGTTTCCTCGTCTGTTAAATGAAGAGATTTAGACTCAAAGGCCTCTGAGGCCCCTCCCAGCTCTGAGTCTATGACCCTATACCCAGTAGAGCTGATATTTGTTGCTGCTTTAGGAGGTTGGGGGCTAGGGTTGGGGCCCCAGCAGAGCTTGGATATGTCCAGAGCCCACACCCGGAGGCTGCCTTTGATTAGGGACAGTCCCTGGTCTCCATGCCCTGCTCCCCCCTTAATCTTCCTAGTGTATAGCTCTGAACCTGCTCTCTCCCCATCACCCCAACCTTCTCCCTACAGCTTTGACCTGGACCCAAGGAGACGCTACACCTTCTGGACCTTTGTGGTGGGGGGCACCCTGGTGTGGCTGTCCATGTATGGGGTGAACCAGGCCCAGGTCCAGCGCTACGTGGCCTGCAGGACTGAGCGGGAGGCCAGACTGTGAGTGCCTGAGTCCAGGGCTTGGGAGGCAGCGGGGAGGACAGGGCCACAAACCAGCCAATTCCACGTTGGGGCAGCTCTGATTGTTGGGCAGTTCTCCCTTATGTTTAGCCTAGATGGACCTCTTGCCACATGGCCTCTTTGTTCCAGGACCTGCCCTGTCTCAGAGCCAAGCAAAACCATCCATGTTCCTTTTCCAGTCAGATCCTGGCAGGAGACAATCATGTTCTCCTAAACCCAGGTCTCTCGGCCCCATCTCAGAGCTCCGATCCTTGAGTGGGTGTCCGTGTTTCTGATCCCTCCGGCCTTCTCCTTGTCCGCATCCTCCTTCCGTCCCCCATCTGGCTCCCATAAGGCAGGCTCACCAGACCACAGGCCCCGGTCTTGCTGACATGCCCACTTCCCTCTCTAACTCCAGGGCACTGCTGATCAACCAGATGGGGCTCTTGCTTATCGTGGGCAGCGCAGTGGCCTGTGGTATCATCATGTTTGCCCTGTACAGAGACTGCGACCCGCTGCAGGCTGGGCACATCTCTGCTCCTGACCAGGTAAACTCTGGGAGAATGGCCCAGTCCCTGCTCCATCCACTGTGCCATCTACCCCCAGTGGAGGAGACGGCTGGCAATTAACTAGGCGGAGATAAGGTCCTTAAAAGCCTCTGCTAGGTTTGACATCAGGGCAAAGGATAGAGGAATATAGTAGGTGCTCTGTAAACCTTTATTTCCTTCCTCTTCTAGATCAGAGATTGGCTTGCTATAGCATGAGGGCTAGGTCTGGCCAATTGCTTGCTTTTATACAACTGTATTGAAAATACAAAAACCATTCTTAGCTTGAGGGCCAAACAAAAGCAACCCTTATTCTAAATGAAATACAGAGTCCTCCAATCCTGCCTTGCCCGACAGGGAAGAAGTGTAGTGCAGTGGGAAGAGCCCTCAACTGAGAGTCTCAGGTCTTGAGTTCAAATCTCATCACTGCTAATTCCCAGCTGGTGATGTTAGATAAATCACTTAGCCTTTTTGGTCCTATTTCCTCCGGGGAGATGAGGCAGTTAGAGTAGAAGCATTTATTAAGCATCTACTATATGCCAGGCACCGGGCTAAGTACTTTACAAATATTCTCTTATTTGATCCTTACAACAACCCTGTCGGGGTGGGTGCCATTATGATCCTCAGTTTACAGTTGAGAGAAACAGGGGTTAAGTGACTTGTCCAGGGTCCCACAGCTAGTATGAGAGTCAAATTCGAACTCAGATCTTCCTGACTCCAGGGAAGAGCTCTGGTCAGTGGGCCATGTTGCTGCCTCAAGGGTCCCTCCCAGCTCTAGATCCCATAATCCTTCCTTCCTTTAACACATCACCATTCTCAAGAGGACAGATTGTGAATTCTTGAGTGTCAGCTCAGCTGGTCTGGCCAGCAGACTGAAGAGCTCTTGTGACCTTAGGCTGAGTGAATAGAGATCCTGCCTCCAGAATGAGGCAGGCCTGCTCCCTGCATCTTCTGTCCTACTCAGTTCTGTCTAGAGCATAGCGGTCAGTCCCCTGGTCATCCTTTAAGGATGGTAGCTTAGCAGGAAAAGCCTGGAGTCAGAGGCCCCAGGCTTCAAGGCTCTGATAAGGCTATGATGCTAACTGCCTGTGGGACCTTGGACAAATCACTTAATTTCCTCGTCTGTAAAATTAGGGTTCCAGACTCAATGACCTGAGGTTCCTTCAAGCCCTATGTCTATAATCCCATGTCCAAAGGAGGGCAACCAGGATGTTGAGAAGTTTAGACAACAAACCATGTCAGCATCGGCTACAGGGACTGGGGGTATTTGGGCTGGGGAAGAGATGTAGTGGGGGTGAGGTGGTGACCCATGTCTTCACGATATGGGGCTCTCAGGGGCAGAGGGAACAGCCCTTTTCTTCATAATAATAACTGACATTTACATAGCACTTCAAGGTTTGCATCATCTCACTTGAACCCCATAGCAGCCAGGAAGGCTTTAGCCTCAGTCTTCTTCCCTATTTGGGAGATGAAGAAGCTAAATACCCAGAGAGGATAAGCTGTTTGCCCAGAGTCATAGCAGGTGTCAGAGGCAGGATTTGAACCCAGAGCTTCCTTACTCTAGTACTTCTTGCATCAAGAAGCCTCTAGGTGCTAGACGCCTTTGGTGTGTAAACAGGCTGCCCAGCCGCCTCCTGTCTGAGAAGCCTTTCAGCGCTGATGTTCTGTGTTCTAAGAACCCTTCCCTCCTGGAATTCTAGGAAGCCCCCATAGGGAGAAAGCTTAAAGTGTGTGGCCCTAGGGGTCAGAACTAGGGATTGTGTGCACACGCATGTGTGTGTGTGTATGTGTGTGTACGCAAGGAAAGTCCCTAGGAGGCAGATGTCTACAAAGGGTCATTGATTTTCATTACTATTAGTTACTCTTATGTTGGTGGTCATTTGGGTTTGACCTGTGACTTCACTCCTGCTGAGAGACCCCCTCCCCTTTTCACCAATGGGAATCCCCCAACCTCCTAGTTTCACAGTGGCCCAGAACACTGAGGGATGAAGGGATGAGGTACCACACGTGCTCGAGGCAGAGAGAAAACAGGTGAGGAAGATGAGTGAACAAAGAAGTCTAGGGTTGGTGCCCAAGGTCACTCAGCTAGTAGGAAGCAGTATATGCAGAGCAATGAATTTGGAGTCAAAAGACCTGAGTTGGAATCCACCCTCTTCTATGTACTAGTTGTGTGTCCTTGGACAAGGCATTGTTTCACCTCTTTATGCCTCAGTTTCTTCATTTATAAAATGAGGAGCTCTTCTCCCATTGCTTGTAATTCTGTGATAGCCTCGGTGGTCTGTCTTTTTTTTCTGAGCCCCCGTTCAGAGGATGCCTTTGTCTCCCAGTCCATTATACACAGATTCTGTGGCCATGCTCCCCACCCCCACTTTGAATGTCCTTATTCGTCCTGCTCCCCCCAGGCAGGCGTGGGCCCCACTGCTTAGCGGGCCCATCCTGGGGGAGAACAGCAGGGAGAGTTTGCCGGTCCTCTCCAGTGATGGAAGGAATGGGAACGCCAAATAAGCTCTGGGCCTTATCCGCGTCTTCTCTCTCCCCCCAGTATGTGCCCTACCTAGTGCTGGACATCTTCCAGGATTACCCCGGTATTCCTGGACTCTTCCTTGCCTGTGCCTACAGTGGCACCTTAAGGTAGGATTTAACATCCCCTGGGCAGAGTGCTGCCCCGCCCTTTACAATATCCCACAAAACTCCACCTAGACAAGTTCCCTTAGGAGGGCTATCTCCTCAGAATAATAAAGACATTGGTTTCCACAGCCTGTAAGGGCCATCCCAGCTTGGCCATTCTATGTTCTAAAGGCACTCCCAAGCCCTGATATCCTACCTTCCAAGGGCCCTCCCAGCTCTAACATTCTACCTCCTAAGGGCCCTCCCTCCCAAGCTTTGGCATTCTTCTTTCTAAGGTCCCTCCCAGCTTTGATATTCTATATTCTAAGGATCCTCCAAGCTCTGACACCGTGCATTTTAGGTACCAACAGCTTTCCTAGATCTGACATTCATGTTCTAGGTAGTAAGGGCACTCCCAGATCTGACCTGCTATATTCTAGGCACTACGATTCCTCCCAGATATGATATTCTGTGTTCTAAGCTCTGATGTTCTAATGTTCTAGGTCCTAAGGGCTCTCTTAGGTCTGATATTCTGGGTTTTTTTTGGGGGGTGGCATTCTGGGATCCTATATGGCGAATGGGCTAGGAAGACATGGAAGGGATGGACTCCACATTGGGGAGGGGGGAGGGCAGGTCCTGCTCTCACACCCAATGTCTCCCCAGCACGGCATCCACCAGCATTAATGCCATGGCCGCTGTCACTGTGGAGGATCTGATCAAACCTCGGTTACCGACCCTCAGCCCTCGAAAACTGACTCTGATCTCCAAGGGGCTGTGTAAGTCCTGGGTAGAGGCAGGAAGGGAAGGAAAGGCACTCAGGGAGCAAAGGGGAGGGTTTGGGCCTCTTCCTGGGGGAGATGGCTCAAGGCTGGACCATTAGGAGGCCTCCAGGTGCCAGCTCCCCAAAGCCAAGGTTGGAGTCCCCTGACAGCTGGCCCAGCCTGAGGCTCAGACGCTGGGGGGAATCCTTGGGGTCCAGACGCCCCCTCTCCCTTGGGCAGCCCTGCTAATGGCCTTTCCTTCTTGTCTCTGACATTCACCAGCTCTCATTTACGGCTCAGCCTGTCTGACAGTGGCTGCCCTGTCCTCCCTGCTAGGAGGTGGTGTCCTTCAGGTGAGCCCCTTGCCCTGGGGATGGTCCACGCCCCAGCAAGCTGACCCTGGCTCCCAGCAACCAGAGAGGGCTAAACCTTGACCTCAGCCCACAGCCTCCAGGGAGGAAGAGGGAGAGACACCATTCTGTCCATGGGGAGCCCCCAAGACGGGTTAATATGACCCTTCCCTCAGGGAACAGCTCCCACCCTTGGACTAGGGATTTATAGAGTGATTTCTTGTCCATTTTTTCCCTATTTAATTCTCTCAACCATAGGAGGAAGACCATACAGGGTCTATTATCCCCATTTAACAAATGAGAAAACTGAGGCTAAGGGGAGGGAAGACAGTCACAGAGAACCAAAGGCAGACAGGACTAATTCCATTCTATTCAATTATATAAACATCTATTATTTATTGAAATGAGGGCTTCTGAGTCTCCCGATTCCCAGGAATCCAAGGCTCCTTTCCCGACACCAGACCCTGTTCTTTCTGAGGGCAGAGCCCGTCTCTTGGGTAGTGAGGAGGAGGAAGGGAGACCCAGGTCCAAGTCCCGACCACCCTCTTCCCTCCCTAGGGCTCTTTCACTGTTATGGGTGTGATCAGTGGTCCGCTGCTTGGAGCCTTTGTCCTGGGCATGTTCATTCCAGCCTGCAACACTGCGGTAAGGCCCTGAAGGTTGAAAGGGTAAGGGACAGAACTGTCAGGTAGGACAGCACCCTGGAAAGCATCGGGTCCAACACTCTCAGATGGGAAAACTGAGGCCCAGAGAAGGACAAAGTCTAGCTCAAGCCTGAGAGACAAAGCCAAAATTTAGTATTTTACTCTATCCCACCATCTATCAGGTCTGGCTCCCAAGGTGGACTTTTAGGGTTTCGGGGTACCCACACAGAATGGAATATGCCTGGTACAGGGTCTCAATAATCAGTCATTTCATCTGGTCCCATCCTTCTGTGTCAAGATGGGCCATCCGTGGCCCCTCTCTGGGTCTCAGTTTTCTCAGCTGTAGAATGGGGGATTGGATTAGATGATCTCTAAGGTCATTTAGAGTTTTAAGTGCTGTGATTCTCTTCCAGGGTGTCTTCTCAGGCCTGGGCCTAGGCTTCATGCTCTCCTTCTGGGTGGCCGTGGGGGCCACTCTGTACCCACCGAGCCCACAGACCATGGGTGTGTTGCCCACGTTCACAGATCACTGTACACTCTACAACGCCAGTGAGGGTCTAAATAACACCGTGATCATGGGGACACTTCCACCAAGGACTATTTCTGTCCCAGGAGACAGGTGAGGAAAGGAGAGGTGACCCTGTCCTCAGGGAGCCCATAGTCTGAGAGGGAGAAACAGAATAATAAAACAGCAGAGTTAGAAGGGACCTCAGGGGTCATCAGATCCGCTCGTACCTCAATAGGAACCCTCTCCCCGGGACTCCTGATACACGGTTATTCAGTCTCTGCTTGGAGACCTCCGATGAGGAGCTGCTCACCCACTTCTAGACATGGCCCTGGCCTCAGGGATCCTCTGGTTTCAAGAAAAGACAAAAAAAATATTGGCTGAATCTGAGAGAGAACAAGCAGGAGACATCTGGGGCTGGAAGCCCCAGTGGAATGGGCTCAGGGCAGCATTAGCCATCCCTAGCAGGGACTGTATTCGGGGCAATGTGGTAGGTAAGAGGGGCAAGGGGTGGCCGAGCTGATGCCAGTCCACTCCACACAGGCCAACTCTTGCTGATGACTTCTACGCCATCTCCTACCTGTACTACGGGGCCTTGGGCACTCTGACCACAGTGCTGGGTGGCATCCTTGTCAGCTACCTGACAGGTAACACAGCCTTGGGCCAGGTTTTCTGGAGGCCATGAGGTCTTGGGAGTATGTTAGAGGTTTACCCAGCCCACCTTCTGGTGTTGTGCTGGTCCTCTCAGCCATCTCCTATTTCCAGGAAGGGAAGTGCCTGAGTCAATCATGACAGATATCAGTGTCACCGAATTGCAGAGCTTAGACTTTTTTGTGCATCCTGGACCCTTTCAATTATTGAATCAATCGATTATATTGAAATACACTTATCAAAATTTTCTTAGCAGTAAAAATACCAAATTCATAGACGTCAGGTTAAGAAACCATGGCTTAGAGAGAGACTTTAGAACAGGGGTGGGGAACCCCTTCACTATGAAGTTTGGATTCAACCAAAGGGCCACACTCGAGGCAGCAGGCTCCCCATCCCTGCTTTAGAACACAGAATGGCAGAGCTCAAAGATGAACTTTCTAAAAGCTAGCCTGTCAGGGCTGGGAGGAACCTTAATGTCTTAAGAGTTCAACCTCTACCCAGTTGGTCATAAACGGTGTGCTTACCTCAATGGTCATTGGGGTAATAGGGGTTGGGAAGGGTCTGTGTCTTCTATCCTTTCTCGAATTCCAGGGAGCTGGGCCTGCGGTTTGGGCTACATATTTTGTCTTTTTCTTCCCTCTTCCACAGGCCCCACCAAACGTAATGACCTGGGCCCTGGCCTTCTGTGGTGGGACGTCATGAAACAGATGTCGTCTGTGGCCCCCATGGCTAAATCGATGCCCCTGGAGGATGGCTTGTCTAATTCCAAGGTCATCACCAGATCTTCAGATAACCAGGAGGAGCTGGGGTAGCACGGGGAAGGGGGATACATTGAGTCTGGGCCCGGACTGGGGTGCCACAGGCTGCTCCATGGCCTCCGGGAAGGTTGTTGAATTAGTGCCAAGATCTAGCCAAGAATGAAATGTTTGGATTAAATGGTGCTAATTACCTTTGTGATAGTCATCAAAGGATAGAAGAAGATACATTATATACTATAATATAAGATGTATTAGCCATTAATACATAGATCCAAATTCAAACCCGTTAGCAGTTGCAGTGAGACATGGCTCCCCTTGCCTCTTTCAGCTCCTCCCAGAGACTCATCTTGTGTCCCAGTAGTAGCCTGCATGGATGGTGAGGGTCTCCCTAGGCCATAAAAGCAATGATCCTTACCCCTTCGAACACATCATGCCACACTGGCCTAGAGGTCATTCAGGCAATCGGCAAAGCCGGGTCTCTGTCAGCCAATCAGTCAACAAGCATTTATTAAACACCTACGGTGTGCCAGGCATTGTGCTAAAGATACAAAGAGAGGCAAAGGACAGTCCCTGCCCTCAAGGAGCAAATAAATGCGTACAAACAAGCTACATAAAGGATAAATAGAAAATAGTGAAGAGAACCGAAATTAAGGGAGGTTGGGGAAGGCTTCCTGTACAAGACGAGATCTTAGCTGGGACTTTAAGAAAGCCAGGCAAGGCAGGAGGTGGCGATGAGGAAGGGAGAGCATTCCAGACACAGGGGTCAGCCAGAGAAAATGTGTAGAGCTGAAAGATGGAGGGTCTTGTTCACGGAACAGCCAGGAGGCGGTGATGCTGGTTCGAAGAGAACATGGTGGGGAACAAGATTTAAGAAGAGGGGGCGTTTGGTGACTAGGTCTGACTCTTTGTCCCAGGACTCTCCCCCTCCCCTATTTTATAATCTTATTTTTCACATGGTTAATTTTCCACTGTGTCTCTGCCCTGTGGATACCTGTTTATCCTGATTCTATGGAAAAAATCTGGGCACAGTGAAGGGTGGGGCAGTCTCTGGCCAAAACCCACCATGGCGGCTTAGTTCTCCCTTGGTGGCCAGGGCTTAAGTCCTCAGAGCTGATGGCCTCCTAGGAGACTGGGAATTCTGGCTGACTTGCCTATCAGATAAATACTCCAGCTAGTAACCCCTTCCCCTCTCCTCGGGGTGGGGAACCTACAGCCTTGAGGCCACATGTGGCCCTCTAGGTCCTCAAGTGTGACCTCAAGATTGGATTTGTTCTGTGAGGTTTGGATTCAGTCAAAGGACTTCACTTGAGGACCTAGAAGGCCACATGCAACCTTACCTGCCTCATGAGGAACCACTGGGGGAAAGAATTCTTGGAGAGACGTATTGGCCATTCCCATAGGGACTCATCCAGGGCTTGAAGGAATGAACAATCTAAAGTCTATTTACAGTTTCTGAAGCATCTTTCTCTCCATTCTCTCTTTTGATTTTTCATAACAGTTTTGAAAGACAGACAGGGCAAATCATATAATAATCTTCTCAAACCACACTAGGACTTTAGGGACACCCTTTAAGAACTGACACCGATAGAGGGTTCTCGAGGACCCTCCTCAGGGCTGGACCTGTTTCTGATCTTCTCCCTCTTCTCTCTTGCAGGATTCCAATGAGCACCCACATGAGGTCAAGAAGCCCTCCTTCTGGCCCCAGGATCAGCTGCTACAAAAGGAGGCAGAGGAAAGCAACCTACTTAGAGAAACTGACATTTAAGTTGGCTCATGTGTAGACTGAGAGAGAGAGACTGAGAAACCCAAAGTGAGGGGGTGGGGTTGGAACTTTGGCCTGGCCAGTTCTAGACCCGGGAACCCGCTCTCCACGTCTCTGCTTGGTCAGGGATTGTTTCATGCTTATGAGCCTGGGGACCTCTGGATCTTGTAGAATTAAGAATGGAGGAGAAAGGGCTGGGCATTCTTAATGTCAAAGATCTTCCCTGGATCTGATTATTCCTGCATAGGGAAAGCAAGTTTGATTTCTCCTTGGGGCAGTCAGTGTTTGTGTGTGTGATAAGGGGGAGGAGGAGAGTGCCTTCCTGTCCCCTGTACACTCCATTTATCCACTGGGAAGATGGATGGATGTTGGAACACTCTTCCCTCGTCAGCTTGGAACCCCGGGCTCACCTTCTAGGCTCAACGTCTCCTACAAGATGCCTTCTCTGCTTCTTCCATAGGCCCCCTCCCTTCCTCCCCTGCAGCTTCTCCCAACCCCAGAATCATTTTGTATTTAATATTTTGTATTTGATTATCCACGTAGGGGTTGGTTTTCTCCTGGTAGAAAGTAAGCTCTCTGAAGTCAGGGACTGTTTTGTTTCTTGTCCATGAATCTCTGGGGCCTACTGTGTGTGGCTTGTAGCAGGTGATTAATAAATGCTTATCAAATTGAATTGAATTGAGTGGGGCAGGGAGGAAGGAATGAATGGGGCAAAGGATGGGTGGATTACTGGTCCTAGCTCCAAAAGAAGCTACATCTTCCAGATCATTCAGCCTTGTGCTGCCCCGTCCCCAGTCCACCCCCTGGATAGAGTCCTGGGCCTAGAGTCAAGAAGACCTAAATTCAAATCCAGCTTCAGACTCTGGCTGTTTCTCAGCCTGAGACAATAGCTGTGTGACCTGGAGTAGTTCACTTACCCACTCACTGCCTGACTCAGTTTCTTCATCTGCAAAATGGGGACAATAATAATAGCACTTACTTTCCAGGGTTGTTATAAGGCTCAGATGAGATAATATTGACACAGTGCCTGGTACCCTCCTGTCCCCTCCCTAATCCCACCTTCCAGGCATGCCATACCCAACTCCAGAGGGAGTCCTAATAAAACAACTTTGCTGGGTCAGCTCACATTTGCTGATGACATAGGCATTTGCTCTCTGTGGCTGTTCATGCTTCATCGTGTTTGTTTATATGTGTGTGTTGTCTCAGGGGATTGTTAGAAGGGCACTGAGCCTCCTGCCTCTTTGGCGTCCCTTCCCCCTAGTACAGGCCTGGGTGCTTGTTAGGACTCACACAGTGCTGGTGTTAATAGTCTGGTGAGCGCATTCGTCTTGATGACATACTGTGGTGTCATCTCCACTGGGGCCTCCCAAAATGAACTTTCTGCCCCACCCTAGGGTCCCAAGGTGCAGCTGGACCTACCTTAGCTCTGCTTATTTGGAGGGGTCGATGAGATATCTTTATCAGGCTTGGGGCTGGAAAGGGAAGCCCCGTGAAAAATAGGGATTTCTAGGATTTTAGAGCTGGAAGCAACCCCTTTGTTTGGAAGAATTTAAAAAATACATCCATATCTTGTTTTTATGTTCACATGGCTTTCCCCTTCCCCCATCCCAAAGCCATCCCTTATAACAAAAATGAAAAAAACATAAATTGAACAAACTGACAAACACAAGTAAGTCTTATAGTAAGGGAGTATTATATCTCTTCTTCAGGGCCAAACTTGGTCATTAGAGTTATACATATATATATATATATATACACACACACATCATTGAGTTGGGACGCTGCTCTGCCCCAGTTCTCCTGGCTTACCTGGCTGATTGGTCCTCAGTCTCCTTTGCTTAATCTTCCTCTGGGTCACCAGCTATTACCTATGAGTGTCCTCCAACACTCTGTCCCAAGCTCTCTTCTCTTCTCCCTCTATGCTATTTCACTTGAATTTCATCAGCTCGTCTGGGTTTGATTATCCTCTCTGTACAGATGGTTCTCAGATCCATTTATCTAGCCCTAACCTCTCTCCTGAGCTTCATGGGCTCTGGTAACTGACTGCTTATTAGACATCTGGAATTGGATATCTCTCAGACAACTCAAACTCAGTATGTCCCCAGCAGAACTCATGATCTTTCCCTGCAAACTCTCCCCTCTGGGATGGTTTCAGAAAAACCTGGGAAGACTTAGAAAAACTAATGCAAAGTGAAGTGAAAAAACGGAGATCATTGTACATAGTAGCAGCAATACTGCAATGGTGGCCAGCTGTGAAAGACTTGGCTACTCTCATCTGTTTAATGATCCAAGGCAATTCCAAAGGCCCCCTGAAGAAAAATGCTATCTGTATCCAGAGAGAGAACTGATGAATTCTAGGTGCAGATTGAAGCATACTTTTTCACTTTTTAATTTTTCCTGCTTTTTTTTTTTGGCAAATGTCTAATATGGAAGTATGTTTTGCATAACTTCACATGTATAGTTGATATCATATTGCTTGCCATCTCAATGAGGGAGGGATGAGCAGGAGGGAGGAAGAAAATTGAAAACTCAAAAATTTTTTAAAGAAATGTTAAGGGGGCAGCTAGTGATACAGTGGATAGAGCATGGGCTCTGGAGTTGGGAGGACCTGTGTTCAAATCCAGCTTCAGACACTTGCTTTGTGACCCTGGGCAAGTCATTTAGCTTTGATTGCTTCAAAAGAAAGAAAGAGAGAGAGAGAGAGAGAGAGAGAGAGAGAGAGAGAGAGAGAGGAAGGAGAGGAAGGAAGGAAGGAAGGAAGGAAGGAAGGAAGGAAGGAAGGAAGGAAGGAAGGAAGGAAGGAAGGAAGGAAAGAAAGAAAGAAAGAAAGAAAGAAAGAAAGAAAGAAAGAAAGAAAGAAAGAAAGAAAGAAAGAAAGGAAGGAAGAAAGGAAAAGAAAGTAGAAGGGAAGAATTTATGGCCAAACAAGAGATAGAGAATGTTGTAAAATGCAAAATTGATGACTTTGATTACATTAAATTGAAAAGCTTTTGCACAAACAAAGCCAATGCAACTAAGATTAGAAAGGAAATAGAAAGCTGGGAAACAATTTTTACAGTCAGTGTCTCTGATAAAGGCCTCATTTCTAAAATATATAGAGAACTGATTCAAATTCATTAGAATACAAGTTATTCCTCAACTGATAAATGGTCAAAGGATATGGAAGGTGGTTTCCAGATGAAGAAATCAAAGCTATCTATAGTCATACGAAAAAATGCTCTAAATCACTATTGATTAGAGAAATGCAAATCAAAATGACTCTGAAGAACCACATCACACCTATCAAATTGACTAACATGACAAAACAGGACAATGATAAATGTTGGAGAAGATGCGGGAAAATTGGAACACTAATGCATTGTTGATAGAGTTGTGAACTGATCCAACCATTCTGGAGAGCAATTTGGAACTATGTCTAAAGGGCCATACATCTGTACATACCCTTTGACCCAGCAATACCACTTCTAGGGCTGTATCCCAAAGAGATCCTAAAAATGGGGAAAAGACCCATATGTACAAAAATATTTATAGCAGCTCTTTTTGCGGTGGCAAAGAATTGGAAATTGAGGGGATGCCCATCAATTGGGGAATGGCTGAACAAGTTGTGGTATATGAATGGAATGGAATACTATTGTGCTATAAGAAATGATGAGCAGGTGGACTTCAGAAAAATTTGGAAAGACATATGAACTGATGCTGAGTGAAGTGAGCAGAACCAGGAGAACATTGTACACAGTAACAGTCACAGTGATGACTGACTTTGATAGACTTAGCTCTTCTCAGCAATGCAAGGATCTAAGACATCTCCAAAAGTCTCATGATGGAAAATGCTATCCACACCCAGAAAAGAACTATGGAATCTCAATGCAGATGGAAGCATACTATTTGCTCTCCTTTTCTTTTGTTATTTTGTTTTGATTTTTCTTTCCCACATTTCCTCCCATTTCATTCTAATTCTTCTCTACATCATGACTAATATGAAAATATGCTTAATATGAATGTATAAGTAGAGTCTATATCAGATTGCATGCCATCTTGGGTAGGGAGAAGGAAAGGGAAGGGGAGAAAATTTAAAACTCAAAATCTTATGGAAGTAATTGTTGAAAACTAAAAATTAATAAATTGTTTTTAAAAATAACAGAAAAAAGTATAATTATTTAAAGAACAAAAAACAATTCTCCCCTCTTCCCAGTTCCTTCCCTATTACTGTGGAGTCACTAGTCTCCCAATCTCAATATCATCCTCAACTCCCCACTCTTACCCTGGAACTCCACAGGTAAAAAACTTGTTTTCATCTTTAAACATTTTCTTTCCCACTCCTTCCATCTTCTGGCTCTCACTGAAGCCTGGCTCCCTCCTGATGATGCAGCCTCCCTAGCTACCTTTTACTGTATTGGTTGTACTTTCACTCATTCCCACCCCCCTCTCACCACCCATCACTCACTCACTGGTCAAAGTGGGGGAACTGGAATATTCCTTGCTTCCCTTTGCCATATCCAAATTCTCCCTCTACCACCATCACTCAGTAACTGCATTCCTTTGAGGTTCATTCAATTCATCTCTACCATCCAATCTCAGACCTCAAATCCGTTGGCAAGTTAGGGGGCTGTCTACACCAAGCATGTGAAACTTCCCTCGGCAGAATGGGTGAGTGAGAACAATGTGTTCCAATGGTCCATGAAGGCAGCTGAAGAAGGTGCTGTGGAGGGCTTAGAGCTTGGTCAGATTTCAAAGACTTCAAGGTCATCCACTGCATCCCAAGCCATCACCAGTCATCCTGACTTTTCTCTTGCCATTGGACTTTGATGACTCAGGAAGAGAGGGTGAGGCTGACAACTTTATAAAGTTCTACCTTGCTTAAATCAAATTCATGTGCAAGTCAAGACATCACCCCATGATGTCATTGGTCCTCTTTGAAAACGAAGGATGAACAACAACACCTAGTCAAAATTCTGGTAATTGTTGTCTACTGACTTCCAGGGTATTCCTCTTCTTTCCCCAGTGAATTCAGTGCTCTCAGTCTCTCTCTCCTCCCCAACTGCCCTCATACTTGAAGACTTAGATAGATAGATAGATAGATAGATAGATAGATAGATGGATGGATGGATAGATACTCTTGCAAACCTCTAACCTCTCATTTCCCATGATCTATTCCTCTACCCCACCTCAGCTACACAGAGATAGTCATACCATTTATCTTGCTATCACCTACTTCCATATTCATGGATTCTAAAATTTCCCCATCTGATCCTAATCTGTTGTCATCCCACCTCTCCCTGTTCTTTGTCTTCATCAATCTCTTCAATCTTCCCCAGGTTATCACCCCTGTACTGCCTACACTCTCCTCCCTTACCCATCTTGACTCCATTGGTAAACCAGCTCAACTCTAGGCTGTCCTCTCTAATCCCTTGACCTCTTATCTTATCACCCATCTTGCCCTGCCAAGCATAAATTGAATTATTCCCTCCATCTGCTGCCTTTACTCCTACTCATCTGTTGCCAAAATAAAGTAGAGAAAATCATGAAACCATGCTGACTGGGTCCACTACAAACTAATGTTTCATAATCCCAACTGAGGCCTTATTTCAGCAAGACAATCTAAACCCTCACTAGGTCCATCCATCTAAATGGATGCTCCCACTTTCTTTCTCCTCATTAATAATATTTAAGGGAGCAGATAGATATAATTCTATCTTGGTACCCCCTCTCTCTGAGGAGAGCAGAATGACCAGCCTCTGGCCCCAACCTCCCGTTTCCCCTCTAGGCAAGAATAAATATCTCCCTTAGAGAAGGGTAGAAATCTAGTCTTGCCTCCCTTCAAGCCATGTCTAGACAGACCTATGTGGACACATATAACCTACATGGATGAAACAACACAGTCTCCCCATCCACACACACACATACACTTCTTGCATACTTATTATCCAGCACTAATCTCTCTTTCTGACCTCCATCTTCTCATTTCCAACTGCTTCTTATGCATCTCAAACTGGATCTCAAACATCTAAAACACAACATGACCAAAAGTGAACTCATTATCTTTTCTCCCAAGTCTTCCTCTTTTCTTAACTTCCTTATTACTGTGGAGGAAACCACCATTCTCCCTACTTCAGACTCATAACCTAGGTGACAGCCTCAATCTT